ACATTCAGTAGCCAAACATTGATCAATGTTGCAAATAGAAATGCCATGAAAAGAGTGACATGATAGCTCATAAGGTGTGTTTATCCTAAAAGGCATTCCATTACCCACAGCGCATTCAGAAAGTATTTAGACCCCTTTTACTTTTTCCACATTTTGTTACGTTACAGCCTTATTCTAAAGTAGATTAAAATGTTTTTTCCCATTCGTCAATCTACACCCAATACCCCATAATGACAAAGCAAAAACTGGTTTTTAGAATTTTTTTAGAATTTAGAAAAATTAAACGGAAATCTAACATTTAAATAAGTATTCAGACCCTTTACTCAGTGCTTTGTTGAAGCACCTTTGGCAGAGATTACAGCCTTGAGTCTTCTTGGGTATGACGCGACAAGCTTGGCACACCTGTATTTGGGGAGTTTCTCCCATTCTTCTCTGCAGATCCTCAAGCTCTGTCAGGTTGGATGGGGAGCGTCGCTGCACAGCTATTTTCAGGTCTCTCCAGAGATGTTCGATCGGGTTCAAGTCCGGGCTCTGGTTGGGCCACACAAGGACATTCAAAGACTTGTCCCGAAGCCACTCCTGCGTTGTCTTGGCTGTGTGCTTAGGGTCGTTGTCCTGTTGGAAGTTGAACCTTCACCCCAGTCTGAGGTACTGAGTGCTCTGGAGCAGGTTTTCATCAAGGATCTCTGTACTTTGCTCTGTTTATCTTTCCCTCGATCCTGGCTAGTCTCCCAGTCCCTGCCGCTGAAAAACATCCCCACAGCATGATGCTGCCACCACCATGCTTCACCGTAGGGATGGTGTCAGGTTTCCTCCAGACGTGACGCTTGGCATTCAGGCCAAAGAGTTCAATCTTGGTTTCATCAGACCAGAGAATCTTGTTTCCCATGGTCTGAGAGTCTTTAGGTGCCTTTTGGCAAACTCCAAGTGGACTGTCATGTGCCTTTTACTGAGGAGTGGCTTCCGTCTGGCCACTCTACCATAAAGGCCTGATTGGTGGAGTGCTGCAGAGATGGTTGTCCTTCTGGAAGGTTCTCCCATCTCCACAGAGGAACTCTGGAGCTCTGTCAGGGTGACCATCGGGTTCTTAGTCACCTCCCTGACCAAGGCCCCTTCTCCCCCGATTGCTCAGTTTGGCCGGGCGGACAGCTCTAGGAAGAGTGTTGGTGGTTCCAAACCTTTTCCATTTAAGAATGATGGAGGCCACTGTGTTCTTGGGGACCTTCAGTGCTGCAGACATTCTTTGGTACCCTTCCCCAGATCTGTGCCGCGACACAATCCTGTCTCGGAGCTCTACAGACAATTCCTTCGACCTCATGGCTTGGTTTTTGCTCTGACATGCCCTGTCAACTGTGGGACCTTATATAGACAGGTGTGTTAGATATTACTCCACTGTCGGAGCTAGAAGCACAAGCATTTCGCTACACCCGCAATAACATCTGCTAAACACGTGTATGTGACCAATAAAATTTGATTTGTGTGCCTTTCCAAATCATTTCCAATCAATTGAATTTACCACAGGTGGACTCCAATCAAGTTATAGAAACATCTCAAGGAAGATCAATAGAAACAGGATGCACCTGAGCTCAATTTCGAGTCTTATAGCAAAGGGTCTGAATACTTATGTAAATAAGTTACTAAAAACCTGTTTTTGCTTCGTCAGTATGGGGTATTGTGTGTAGATTGATGAGGGAAAACAATTTAATCCATTTTAGGCTGTAACGTAACAAAATGGAGGAAAAAGTCAAGGGATCTGAATACTTTCCTGGTCAAAAGTAGTGCACTATGTAGGGAAGAGAGTGCCATTTGGGATGCACCCAAGGCCATGTGTTAGGAATGGGAAGCTCTCTGTCAATAGGATTCATACTTTTGGCAGCAGGACAGAAAGACCAGAAAAACCTCACTGATGCAATCACAGCAGGTCCCCCCTGAATGTGACCTGATCATTTTACTTATTATTTATTTTTTACTACCGTTTCCATGGCCACCAACCACTAATTCAGTCTTCCTCTGCGTTGACCTACTTTGTGAACTACAGTGAGATGAGGTAACTAAGGTACAGTACTGGAAACCGGAACTATCTTGTAGGTGGAGTTGATGGGGAGATCCAGGGGTTTATTCATTAGTGCACAACGTAGCAAAACATTGTGCAGCGGAAATTAGTTCTGGTAGTCTCCCCCTTTCGGCCTGTTTGCCTACGTTTGGTTGCTAGTGAATACACCCCTGGCCTGAACTATCTCAGTATTGTAGGAGAGATTGTTGGGAGATGGAGGTCCAGAACGAATAAAATAATAAACCAATATTCACATTTCCATGCAGCCTTGAAGAATCTTTCTTTTTGCTATAACATACACATACATCTCAAGTTCAACTCATGTAACACACTTGGACAAAGTGATTTAATCTTTTATTCACATTAAATCTGCTCTCATATGTATTTTATGTACAGAAAGGTGCTTTACCAGTACAGGAACATTGTATGTGTGTATCTGTTATAGAAAATGGTGGCATATGGTGAAATTGTGTGTAATCCTTTATACATAGGGTATGTTGTCACAGATCAAGCACAGTTTAAGCAGTACTATGGTGTTTGGAACCACAGAGGATGAAGCCCTAGACACTGGCCTTTTCTCAATGGCATACTCCTCACGTCCTCTCGCTTGTCTCCTTCTCAAAACCCATTGGATGAGAAAGCCAGAGGTCCTGCCCCTCTGACCGTCTCCTCCGATTGGGTTTTGAGAAGAGAGGATGCGAGGAGTATGCAATTGGGAAACGTCTAGGGCATTATGACATTTGGTCATTTGAGACACTCACGAACACAGCTTGGGCCAGCAATTCATCATGCACCTTCTCCCTATCCATTCAAATACTATCTTTCTGCCTGATCTGGACCACTGTTTATGTTCAGTGTAGTATGGAAAGTACACAGCAGCACCAAATAAATGGCATTTATCTCCTCTCATTGAAACAAAAATTATCTTCTGCCGATCACAGCAGATGAAGCGTAATAGGTATGATGCAAATATATATATATATATATATATATGATGCAAAGCCTATGATTTAAAATGGCAACTTTTTTCATAACCAACCATCATGCAGCTGAAGTTAGTGCCAATGTTGCCCTGGTGAATTCATTCTCAGAGGGAGGGGAGAATGAATTAAATTAGTGCACCAAAAAAAGGATGTACAGTGAGCTACAAAAGTATTGGAACAGTGACAACTGTTGTTTTGGCTCTGTACTCCAGCACTTTGGATTTTAAAGGATGCAATGACTATGAGGTTAAAGTGCAGACTGTCAGCTTCAATTTGAGGGTTACAGACGCACAAATATCATACCCCGAGACATGCTAACCTCTCGCCATTACAATAACAGGGGAGGTTAGCATTTTTAGGGGTGGGGGTATGATGTGTGTCTAACTTTCTCACTCATCATTATTCACGATTCATTCAGAATTATCCGTAATCATGGTAGCACCCACATTAATGTAGAAGTGTTTAGAAACATTTATTATTTACCATAAAAGTGACTCAATACATTATTTACCATTAATTTCTAGTGGGCACAAAATAATCTGAGACACAACCAAACAGCAAATGAATCCAACAAATTTGTAGAGTCACAAGCTTGATGTAGTCATTGCGTTCTATGAATATGAGACCAAATCCCCTAAAATGGCGGGACTATGTACAAAAAGTGCTGTAATTTCTAAACAGTTCATCCGATATAGATAAAAACAACCTCTAATTAAAGCTAACAGTCTGCACTTTCACCTCATAGTCATTGTATCATTTGAAATCCCAAAGTGCTGGAGTACAGAGTCAAAACAACAACAAAAATGTGTCACTGTCCCAATACTGTTGTAGCTCACTGTATCTCATTTGTTGCATATGCATGGTTTTTGAGCTTTTTCTGATTCTTGGTATGTTGACATTATCGCTCACCTCAACCTCATAAATACAAAAGAACATATCCTTTCAAGGCAATTTGCCACCAATTCTATTGTTATTTGAAGTGCTGAGACGACTGTACTCAACACTTCTGAGGATTGTAAAGGGCGGAGAGAGGATTGTGCATCAACACATTTTCACCGCACTCAAGTAAAAGGTGATACGTAACGACTACAGCAATGTTACGTGAAAATAAGAAAAACAAGACTTGCTTTTCCTTAAAAGTGTCCTAAATACTCCCCTAAACTTCTTACATGTTACCGATAGACTGTTTGTATGTAAAACATTGTGTCCATAACATAAGTGTTCGCTGTTTAAGTATTCATGGAGGCTTTTATAAAACCATTACTTTGAAGTAGAGATACAAGAGGCTGTGTCCCAAATGGCAGCCTATTCCCAAATGGCAGCCTATTCCCAAATGGCACCCTATTCCCAAATGGCAGCCTATTCCCAAATGGCAGCCTATTCCCAAATGGCAGCCTATTTCCAAATGGCACCCTATTCCCAAATGGCACCCTATTCCCTATAAAATGCAATCCTTTTAACCAGGGAATATAGGGAATAGGGCAGGGCTCTCCAACCCTGTTCCTGGAGAGCTACCCTCCTGTAGGTTCACACTCCAACCCTGTTCCTGGAGAGCTACCGTCCTGTAGGTTCACACTCCAACCCTGTTCCTGGAGAGCTACCCTCCTGTAGGTTCACACTCCAACCCTGTTCCTGGAGAGCTACCCTCCTGTAGGTTCACACTCCAACCCTGTTCCTGGAGAGCTACCCTCCTGTAGGTTCACACTCCAACCCTGTTCCTGGAGAGCTACCCTCCTGTAGGTTCACACTCCAACCCTGTTCCTGGAGAGCTACCCTCCTGTAGGTTCACACTCCAACCCTGTTCCTGGAGAGCTACCCTCCTGTAGGTTCACACTCCAACCCCAGTTGTAACTAACTTGATTCAGCTCATCAACCAGCTAATTATTAGAATCAGGTGTGCTAGATTAGGGTTGGAGCAGAAAACCTACAGGACTGTAGTTCTCCAGGGACAGGGTTGGAGCAGAAAACCTACAGGACTGTAGCTCTCCTGGAACAGGGTTGGAGAGCCCTGAATAGGGTGTCATTTGTGACCCAACCCTAGTGGTAGTCTGGGTACCAGACTATATTGGCTCTCTACAAATGTTACTTCATCGTCTTTCAAAATCCTTGTTTGCCAAGCAGGAACGGACTGTCTGGCACACAGGCTAAGATACTGCAACATAATGAAGTAAAATCAAGTATTTAGACAAATAAATAAGGAAAAGTATTCTTTATAAAAAAAGTAGTAAAATGATTGTACAATATACTCCCAACAGCACCCCTTTTTCTTCTGAAACAGGTTGTGTTGTTTCCTTTGTTCTCGCTCTCCTAATCTTTATCTATCTCTTCCTTTTCCTCCCAGTACTGCAGTGACTGAACTAAATGAGAGCGTGTGTAGTAGTATAATGTGTCGTTGTCATAGACAGAAGAACCCCCAGGCTCCACTCCTCCCTCAGCACCACTCCTAATCATTAGTGGGTGTGTGATCCCCCGGAGCTGGGAGGCACCGTACTCGCCCCGCCCCCTCCACTGTGTCCATGCCTGTCTTTCCCATGTCCCAGAATGCAGTGTGCACTTCCACAGCCTTCGTCGCCGTCATCTCCCTCGCTTTCAGAGGAGGACTCTCCGAACTGTTTGGGTTTCTCGTAGACGCAGCAACCTGTGAAGGTGTCAGAAATCCTCAGTCATCAATAACACCTACAATTGCATGCATATGTGTGGAATAAATACTCACACTTGGAGGACCTCCTTCCCAGATGCTCGTTGTCCACTGTGTCGCTGGACCACTCCACCTTCTTGTCAGTCTTCCTCTTCCTCAGCTTGATGGTCAGGCTACGTCCCTCCTGAGAGATACAAACAGGAGACTATGTTTCAGCTTCATACATGCATTGGGTGTTTCTCTTGTCAACGGGTTCATGTAGCCAGTCGACATCACATTTGCTAGTTAGTTGATGGTCTGGTACAACTGGCAATGTACTACACTTGACAGCTAGGATCAAATAATATGAGCTAGTTAGTTAGGGGCAATTCCATGGTAACAGCATTACGCCGAAACTCAGATTATTTACTTTTAAAATGTATACCAAACAAAAAACATTGATTTCAAAGTTGAACAAACCATAGACCTCTATGCACAATTACTATTTTGAACAATTTGCACGGAAAATTTGACAAAAAAACATTTACAGGAAGAACTGTGCAGATACACATTTTGGCAACATAAAACCGAGCGAGGAAGATTTGAACGCAATTCTGTTAGCTTCCAAACTTTTCATCTGCACAGTTTTTCCAGTAAATGTTTTATTTATTTACTGTGTAAATTGTTCAAAGTAGTCATTGTGCATAAAGTAGTCATTGTGCATAAAGTTGTATGACTTGTTAAACTTTGAAATCAATGGCTTTTGTTTGGCATACATTTTAAAATGGAAAAATCGGTGTCTGTGTAATTCCGCATCACTACGGAATTGCCGGCTTTAGCTAATGGATGGCTTTTCGCTATTGTAACTAGGTAGCAAGCTAGTTTGCTCCAAACTCTGAACTGCGGCCTCTGCATGCATATTGGACTCGATTCCAAACAGTCTATTCGTTATCTTCCTGTATCTACTACTTAACTAATTATTTCGGTTTCTATAGCTAGCTTACCTGCTGGGGCGGTGGCGGTGTTTCGACTTGAATGGTCTCCGTTATCGTCTCGTTAGAAGTACCTGGCGCCTCCGCCATCCTGATGATGTTAGTTTGGTGGTTTTGAGGTCGCGCCAGCCGTCAACAAACGTTAACGTTATTTTAGGAACAACAACCACCCGGTTTCTTCAACACTAAACAGACTCGATCTCGTTGGATGTTCGGCGAGAAGCTGTATCAGAGAGTTTCAAAAAAATAAATACTGTACGGTCTTTGGCTGTATGGAGGAAGTAATTCCTAGACGGACCCCTTCCGGTAGCTCTGCGCACAAATGTGTTCGACGGAAACATCGATTGTTGTATGTTTGCTGAAGTTACCTACACGAAAAATAATGATCAAGGGAAAACGCTGTTTAAAAACTGTAGTGTAATTCTACATAAGTGATAATGTGTCAACTTGTAAAAGAATATAGTGAACACAAATGAATTCATATTCCGTTAGGTCGTAGTTGAAAGGTCACACGTAGCTGACTAACGTTAAACATGTCCGCGCTTAAGCACAGATGCGCACGACTCATGGCAGTCATCTGCGCCCATTCAACATAGCCTAGATTTACGTTTTTATTACTTCTAAACAAAATAACTCTTGTGTGGGTTCTCATACGCGTACAATGATTCTTGCTTGAACAGTCGCTAAGATTATATTTGGTTGTGATCTTTGCAGGATAACTATTTTGGATGCAGCAGTTGTTAGCTAGAATGCTAACGCTCGTTGATATAGGCTGTAGCAACAGCTAGCCAAAGAGCCATTTTACTGGTTGAAGTTAAAGCGTTTTTTTAAGTATAAAGCAGTTGATTTGCGATGTAGACACAAACATTATATTAAGCAAGACATTCATACGAGCCTTAAAATCCAATTATAATCCAGAAATAGTGTGAAATGCACTCATAAGCAACATGTAAATAGAGGCTATTGGTGGCGTTCTGCCACCAACTTGCGCGCATCGCCATCGTGCGGCAATGTTTGTAAACACAGAAAGGGGTCTAATACTAGAATTTGTAGCACGCCATCACCATTGGTCATTAACTGTATGACTGTTCTGCATAATTATGTGACAGAGCAACAGTCTTTGAAAAGGTGCAAATATTCTCTGTACTTACTCCCACAGCTCTCATGTTCTTAGCTATCAAGGCAGAATAAAAACAGCAAATGCCTAGAACTATGTTATGTTTGAAATGGGTAAGGTTAAATAGATTGGAATTATTATTTTTACAATGATTCGTTGAATGAAGGTGAGCAGTGACTCATGCACGAGGAAGAAGTTGCTTACATGCTTTACTTTGATTTACAATTACACTGAAGTGTTGGTCCCATGTTTCATGAGCTGAAGTAAAAGATCCCAGAGACGTTCCATATGCACAAAAAGCTTATTTCTCTCGGATTTTGTGCACAAATTTGTTTACATCCATGTCAGTGAGATTTTCTCCTTTGCCAAGATAACCCATCCACCTGACAGGTGTGGCATATCAAGAAACTGATTAAACGGCACATTAGAGGCTGCTGCCTATAGACATAGACTAGAAATCACTGGAAACTTTAAGAAATGGAACACTAGTCACTTTAATAATGATTACATATCTTGCATTACTCATCTCATATGTATATACTGTATTCTATAATATTCTACTGTATCTTAGTCCATGCCGCTCTGTCATTGCTCGTCCATATATGTATATATTCTTAATTCCATTCCTTATTTAGATTTGTGTGTATTGGGTATATGTTGTGAAATTGTTAGATATCAATGCACTGTCAGAGCTAGACGCACAAGCTTTTCGCTACACCCGCAAGAACATCTGCTAAATACGTGTATGTGACAAATAACATTTGATTTGATTGGATCATTACACAGGTACACCTTGTGCTGGGGACAATAAAAGGCCACTCTAAAATGTGCAGTTTTATCACACAACACAATGCCACAGATCTCTCATGTTTTGAGAGAGTGTGCAATTAGCATGCTGACTGCAGGAATGTCCACCAGAGTTGTTGCCAGGGAATTTAATGATTATTTCTCTACCATAAGCTGCCTCCAATGTCGTTTTATACAATTTGGCAGTATGTCTAACTGGCCTCACAACCGCAGACCAAAACACGCCAGCGGTCTACTAAGCTAACATATGGAATTTAAAAAAAGATAGTCATACCATGGATCATTTAGCTATTTGATTTAGAATTGTAGGTATAAAACAAATATATACACATTGAATAACACATTCATAAATGGCAAAAAAGACAGTCAAAAAATAAATCATAACCAATAAGGTTTTGAAGTGTCTGTCCTATATGTAGGAGATGTAAGACAGATCAGAATATATATATATACAGTACCAGTCAAAAGTTTGGACACACCTACTCATTCAAGGGTTTTTCTTTATTTGTTAAACAAATCAAATTATATTTAGTAGCCACCCATTGCCTTGATGACAGCTTTGCACACTCTTGGCATTCTCTCAACCAGCTTCATGAGATAGTTCACCTGGAATGCTTTTCCAACAGTCTTGAAGGAGTTCCGACATATGCTGAGCACTTGTTGGCTGCTTTTCCTTCACTCTGCGGTCCAACTCATCCCAAACCATCTCCAACGGCGGTTGGAACCAAACATCTCACATTTGGACTCATCAGACCAAAGGACAGATTTCCACCGGTCTAATGTCCATTGTTCGTGTTTCTTGGCCCAAGCAAGTCTCTTCCTCTGATTGGTGTCCTTTAGTAGTGGTTTCTTTGCAGCAATTTGACCATGAAGGCCTGATTCACACAGTCTCCTCTGAACAGTTGATGTTGAGATGTGTCTGTTACTTGAACTCTGTGAAGCATTTATTTGGGCTGCAATCTGAGGTGCAGTTAATTGCCCATATCTGAGGCTGGTAACTCTAATGAACTTATCCTCTGCAGCAGAGGTAACTCTGGTAATGAACTTATCCTCTGCAGCAGAGGTAACTCTGGGTCTTCCTTTCCTGGGGCGGTCCTCATGAGAGCCAGTTTCATCATAGCGCTTGATGGTTTTTGCAACTGCACTTGAAGAAACGTTCAAAGTTCTTGAAATTTTCCGGATTGACTGACCTTCATGTCTTAAAGTAATGATGGACTGTCGTTTCTCTTTGCTTATCTGAGCTGTTCTTGCCATAATATGGACTTGGTCTTTTACCAAATAAAAAATAGTAAAAATTAAGAAAAACCCTGGAATGAATACGTGTGTCCAAACATTTGACTGGTACTGTATTATATATTAATTTTTTTACACATATTTAACCCCTTATTTTTGCTGGTACAAAACTACCTCCATACTTCCATGAATTTGTACGGGTTACCTTCAGAAGTGACACTTGTGGGGGTCGTAGAGCAAAACAGAGAACACCATCATGTTCGTGAGAGTCTCGTCGTTTTTGTTAGAAGACCGATTTTCGGGATGTCTCATGGTCTGACAAACACCGCTGTAGCTCGGCCACCTTCCACCGCAGATGCTGAAGGCCGACAAAGGCTGATGCCGCAGATTGAAACGCAGCCCGTGCAAAAAAAAACTGATATCTAGCTTAGATGCACTATGCAGAAATCACTCCGCCATTTCCTGGTTGCTAAAATTCTAACAGTTCACCTAATTTCAGTTTATGTGACAAAACAAGCAGTCATTGTTGGACCATCTAAACCAGTGGTTCCCAAACTGTGGGGCACTTTCAAAATACTTTTGATAGTTGTAATAGTAGAATGCACAAGGTGCAATTTCGAAATTGGGTAGCACATCATCAGCTTTCCTCTTGTCATTGCACACCTTATAACTTTGCCATGTTGTGTAAATCAAATGATACAAACCCCCCCAAAAAATCCATTTTAATTCCAGGTTGCAAGGCAACAAAATAGGAAAAATGCCAAGGGGGGGGTGAATACTTTCACAAGCCACTGTATAAGATGAGACCCCTACTGTTTGTGTGTTAGCATGTCCCTTTAGCAACGTCATCATCTTTGCTATGTGCTACAGAGCATGATGCACAGCTTCAGTTTGCACAAATGTTTTGTCTGCAGTTAAACATGGTTTTATTTTCAAATTGTAAACTTGAGATGATAGATCATCTTGGTGTTTATTTGAGAGGTTTATTGATGCTGTCTGCAGGTCGACTCTAAGCAGCTGTCTGGAAGAACCCTATTTACGGCCCATAGGGCTCTGGTCAAAAGTAGTGCACTATATAGGGAATAGGGCTCTGGTCAAAAGTAGTGCACTACATAGGGAATAGGGCTCTGGTCTAAAGTAGTGCACTACATAGGGAATAGGGCTCTGGTCAAAAGTAGTGCACTATATAGGGAATAGGGCTCTGGTCAAAAGTAGTGCACTACATAGGGAATAGGGCTCTGGTCTAAAGTAGTGCACTACATAGGGAATAGGACTCTGGTCTAAAGTAGTGCACTATATAGGAAATAGGGCTCTGGTCTAAAGTAGTGCACTATATAGGGAATAGGGCTCCGGTCAAAAGTAGTGCACTACATAGGGAATAGGGCTCTGGTCAAAAGTAGTGCACTACATAGGGAATAGGGCTCCGGTCAAAAGTAGTGCACTACATAGGGAATAGGGCTCTGGTCTAAAGTAGTGCACTACATAGGGAATAGGGCTCTGGTCTAAAGTAGTGCACTACATAGGGAATAGGGCTCTGGTCTAAAGTAGTGCACTACATAGGGAATAGGGCTCCGGTCAAAAGTAGTGCACTACATAGGGAATAGGGCTCTGGTCAAAAGTAGTGCACTACATAGGGAATAGGGCTCCGGTCAAAAGTAGTGCACTACATAGGGAATATGGCTCCGGTCAAAAGTAGTGCACTATATAGGGAATAGGGCTCTGGTCTAAAGTAGTGCACTATATAGGGAATAGGGCTCTGGTCAAAAGTAGTGCACTACATAGGGAATAGGGCTCTGGTCAAAAGTAGTGCACTACATAGGGAATAGGGCTCTGGTCAAAAGTAGTGCACTATATAGGGAATAGGGCTCTGGTCTAAAGTAGTGCACTATATAGGGAATAGGGCTCTGGTCAAAAGTAGTGCACTATATAGGGAATAGGGCTCCGGTCAAAAGTAGTGCACTACATAGGGAATAGGGGTTCTGGTCTAAAGTAGTGCACTATATAGGGAATAGGGCTCTGGTCTAAAGTGGTGCACTATATAGGGAATAGGGCTCTGGTCAAAAGTAGTGCACTATATAGGGAATAGGGCTCCGGTCAAAAGTAGTGCACTACATAGGGAATAGGGGTTCTGGTC